TCCAAACTTATTTCTCTACTGGGAAAAAGTTGGTTAAAAAAAAAAGCTGGTTGGTGTAAATGTGCCACATAAATGAGGATGACTTCAACAGATTAATACAGACATGTTATATTTTTGTGTCTCTTGTCTTCTTGGTTTACCTTTACCTTAATTGCTGTTATGTTGCCTTCTGAGTATTCCACTTTCACTTTGCCTGTCAAAGCACTTTGGAAACCTTTGTTCTATATTAAGCTATATAAATACAATCACTATTCTTCTTATTATCGTAGCTGTTCTGGAGTATTTTCACAAATCTTGATGTTTAAGTTGCCACTGGATTTCATGTTGTTTCATGTAATTAAATTCTTTGTAATGAGTACGTTTGGTACTTTGCCTAATAAAGTGGCACATAATGATGCTGCTGTATTCGTGCTTCATTCTTTTATGATGAACTCTCCTTTACTTACCACTTTAATGATCCCTGAGGTGAAGTAAAGCATCATCGGAACAAACCTACAAACAGTTAATGAGCTTTTACTGGTGATGGAGCATTACAGTCACTGAATGAGACTGAATCGTGTAAACAAACAGCAGTAAACAACTTTTTTTTTTTTTTTTAAATTTTCTGCAGCCTCTGCTGTGACAGGTACCCTGTGACGTCAGCGGCTCCTGCAGGAATCCAAACATGGCGGCTGCCATGGAGCTGAGATGCTGGGGAGGAGACTGGGGTTTGCCTTCTGTTCACACCGAGTCCCTCATAGTTCTGGTAAGGCTGTCGTCTGCTTTTACTGAAAATACGACCTCTGCGTCCAGCGGTGCTTGTAAGACTGCGGGTTTCTTCTCCGCTTGTCTGTGCGGCTCCTCTCTGCTCTCTCATGTTAGCCTGAATGCTAACTGAGCTGCTGCAGTTTGGGCTGTAAGTTCCCTGCGTCGATGTGCAGCAGAGAAAACGATGTTTGCAGCTGAATGTCACGCTGCAGCGACAATCATCTAACTGTGCCGACTGCATGGTTTGTCCTTCGTGTGTGGCTGAATGTCAGAAGTCACTCACATTGCTGACAAATAACATGGCCCTTCAAGGTCAGTTTGTTGAGGCTACAAATTCCATTTATTTTGGTAAATTCGGGGCTTTTTCCGCCTGGTAGCTGTGAACGATGGTGAACTTTGTGACCTCGTAGGAGAATTTAAGTTGTTTCCTCAGTTTAACATGTTGTTGTCTGTCAGTACATGCAGTTACAGCTTGTACCACGAGGTGACACTTTTTCTGAGTTTCTGACCAAGATGACATTTGTGGCATCTGGTGGAGCATTTAGTTAGTGACGCTGAAGGTTTTTGGTTTGTGTTGCTTTACAGTTTATATTATAAAAGATGCAGATTTCCATCTTTGTCAGTGGTGTCATCTCCAACATGTATCAGTGTAAAAGGCATAGTTTAATGCCCTTTCTTTCTTTAACAATAACAACTGTCAAATTAAAAAATAAACCATCAAACCAGAATCAGTCACCATTATTTATATAACACATTTAAAGCCACAGTGCTTTGTGGTAGAAATAGAATTGGTACATATTCACCAAAATAGTTTAAATATTGAGGCTAAGATTCTGCAGTGTTATTTATGATGTGAATTTAACTTAATAATTTAATTATTCCTTTAAATTAAAGATTAAGACCCTGCAAAAATTTGACAAAATACAACTTTGCCTGGGCTGCAAGGTGGCTCGGTGGTTAGCACTGTTGCCTCGCAGCTAGAAGGTCGCTGGTTCGCGTCCAGGTGAGGACACCCGGGATCTTTCTGCGTAGAGTTTGCATGTTCTCCCTGTGCAGCGTGGGTTCTCTCCAGGTTCTCCGGCTTCCTCCCACAAGGTCCAAAAACATGTTGAGGTTAATTGGTGATTCTAAATTGTCCGTAGGTGTGAATGTGAGTGTGCTTGGTTGTCTGTCTCTAAGTGTGGCCCTGTGATAGACTGGTGACCTGTCCAGGGTGTCCCCTGCCTGCCTGGGATAGACTCCAGCCCTCCGTGACCCTCGTGAGGATTAAGCGGTGTACAGATAGTGGATGGATGGAAGGACAACTTTGCCTGACTATGATAGTTATGAAGGATTAAGACCCTACAGTGTTCTTTATTATGGAGATTAACCTGACTAATTTTAATATTATAGTTTAGCCCCCACAGGATTACCATCTACTACTCCTATCACCATCACATTTATTAACAAATCCAAAGATTCTTTTCATTCCCTATGAGCAAACTTTCTTTTTATATATTTAAAAAATAGAGGTGTTGTTAGGTATTTGAAATATTGGATGCTTAACCTAGCTCATGTTTTATATTTACACTTTAAGAATAAAATGAATCTAAAATGTGAGATACAGTAAGATCCCCCCGCTGTCTTTCTCTGCTCAGCCCATGTTACACAATAATATCACAGTAGATTAGACCAGTGGTTCCCAAACTGTGTGCCTTGAGCCTAGAGGTGATAGACAAAACCTAGTGTTGCACTTTGTCAGTATATTGGTGTGTTTAATGTTTTCTTTCTTCTGATTTTTGCTTGTCTTCCCTCTTTCTGTAAAGCTGTTTCAGGTGAGCACTGTAATCATAGTGTAGTTTCCCTCGTGCCAAATCTAGTTTTAGAGTTAGTGCCAAATTCCTGCTCATGGTACATTGTTTGTGGCAAACATTCAGCTTTTTTTTATTACTAGATTGGGATCATATAGAACTCAATAGTTTTGAAGTCCTGCCTTGAGGAACAGCTCTGGAAGTTTTCCCCTAAAAGTTAAATACTGCTGTATGTTCCCATTTGGACCAAATGTTCCAGCATAGCATTTTATGAGACTTTTACCTCATATGCACTGACTGTGTTTTACAATCTTACCTGATTCACGTGTGGGTTTTCTTCCAGGCGTACACCAAGTTTTCTGGGGCAGAAGTCACAGTTTCTCCTATAGACTGGACATGGAAAACACTAACAGGTGGGCTGCAGCTTCTCGTAAACTACAGTTTTACAGTGCTGTAGTAAAGTTGCCACATAAGACGAATTTTGTGACCCATGTAGGAATCTTTCTTGAACCTATATACAATACAGATAATTATAAAGGTTTGGAAAATATTTTCTGGGTTATCTATGACATTGAGACTTACTGCAGTTTAACAACAACAAGAAAGCAGATTTATGTTTTTATTAAGTTCCAAAGTGCATTAATTCATATTGAAAAGACAGAGCACATTGCAAGACATAAGTTACATGTTAAAGCTCCTCCTAAATATCATCACCCTTATTCTTTATTGCCTTATCCTCCTCCTCAAACTGTCTCATTTGTCCACAGCGACTGTCCCAGAGTTGCTTTGTGGAAATTCTGCAGTTCAAGAACCTGCACAGATTCTCAACTTTCTAAGGAAGCAGGTGCGAGTGTTGTTTCTTCAGTATATGCCAAAAGCAATTTCACAGAATCAAACTACAGCAATATTTGTTTTTTGTGTGTGTGTGTGTTTTTCTATTTGTGCAGAGGTTTAATGCAGATTATGAACTGACTGCCAGAGAAGGAGCAGACACAATGGCCTACATCGCTCTGCTTGAGGAGAAACTACGACCAGCTCTGGTGACACCATCTCTCCTCTGCTCTAGATTTTAAAAAAGTACAAATCTGGGAGTATCTAAGGTAATGCTTTTTGTCCCACAGCTGCACACTTTCTGGGTGGATGCAGAAAACTACGCCAATCTGACACGGCCATGGTTTGCTTCTCGCTCGCCGTTCCCTCTCAACTTTCTCGTCCCGAGTTGCCAAGCCAACACTGCTCTCTCCCGCATCCTTCTAACCAAAGGAGAGGCGCCGCTCCACAGAATCACCGAGGTGGAGGGAAAGGTAAACACTGCTCTGTCTGAATCATCACGTACATGTCACCTCCTTCAGCATGTCAACTCTGTGGTTTGTGGTGCAGAGGTCTCTTTTTCACAGCTGTAAATCTTTCTCCCTCTGTTTGCCTCAGATCTACAGTGATGCTAAAGAGTGCCTGAATCTCCTTTCCTACAGACTGGGAACAGCAAACTACTTTTTTGGCAACTCGTGAGTTCCACACTGTTTGCTTAAATCTGTGCATCTCACATTTAGGAAAACAGATGTTATAGAATAGAATAGATGAAAAAAAGCTGGAAAAATTTGGAAGGAAATATTGTCTGTTTAATTAAATTTGCCATTAGGATTCTTTGTGCATGTGTTCAGTTTGCCATTTTAGTTAGAAGTTGCTGGTATAGGGAAAAAAAACAAACAAACTGGCCAATACAGTATGTATCAGAATTTCCTAATTTGGAAAACCACATGCTGGGAGGAAGTTGGGTCTTCTAAAGTGTATTTGAGTAATAGTTTTGGTAGAAATCAGACATAGAAAATGCTTTGCAGTGTTCATTTATGCAAAAATTATTAAGTCAGGATTGATAAAGTACCCTGACAGTATGAGTAATAACACGTTTCATAGTAATGCTGTTTATATCGTAGCCTCATGTCGTCTTCATGCATGTCTGAATGTTGTTGTGTTTTTTGTTTACATGTGTGTTTGTGATCATAGGCCAACCAGCTTGGATGCCTTCGTGTTTGGTTTTGTGGCGCCACTTCACAAAGCCAGTCTTCCCAGCAGCCCTCTGCAGAGCCATCTCAGACAGCTGGACAACCTCACACGCTTCTGCGACAGCATCCTCGCAGTTTACTTCAGCTCGGACCATCCTTGTAAGATGGTTACACACACTGGAAACACTTACTCTTTGGGGTTTTGGCTTGGTGAAATCAGCACACATTGACGCATGGGAAGCTTTTCACTTAAAAACAACTAACATCATTAACACTTTCCTTCTTCATATATATCTCTTTCACTTCATGTTTTGCTCTTTGTGTTTGTTTTACTGACCCGAGACTGTTCCTGTTTCACTGACTTTCTGCCATTTTCCTCTTCTGGTGGTGTGGCTTTACTTCATCTCTCTCCAGGTCCTCCCCCACCTGTGCAGGAAACAATGGACGCCAACCTCCAGAAACTAACTCAGCTTGTAAACAAAGAGTCCAACTTGATAGAAAAGGTGCTTCTGCTTTGCTTTTCTCTGCTTTTACGTGGGTTCATGGTTGCTTTTGCCAGGTTCCGTCACAGCTGATTTTAGTTTATAGTCTCTCACTGTGTCCTTGTCATTTCATTTGTTGCTCGTGCACGTGTTCACCAACTAAGCAGTGCAATCTTTACTGTAGATGGATGACAACCTCCGCAGCAGCCCACAGCACAAACCCCACAGACCAGACCCCAAACCCAGCCTGTCCACTGCAAAGAGCTCTACCCCTGCCTAGCACCTGAACTTTCAACCCCGATCCAGCCTCGTGAATCGTGGAGGAACGCCCTGCGGATGAAAGGTGCCGCTCTGAATCTGACTCAACATCCTGACATAAAAGAAATAATCACTATAAAGCTGGACTTTAACTTGAATGGAAAATAAACCTAATAATTAATTGTAATATGACTATATAATTACAAGAGACCATTCTAAGATAATGATGATAGATTTCAAAGATGCTCGTCTAAAAGAGAAGAAAAAGTGCATGTGTGAGGTGCTTCAAAAAGAAGAGTGCATGTATGTGGTCAAGAAAGGAATGCTCTGAAGTGGTGCTCGATGAGAAAGACATGGAAAGTTTCAGGGAAAGCCAAAGGAAATGAAAAGCCCAGCAGGGAAAAGACGTGTCGCTGTTTAACCTCTGAGTGGGCCGCTTTTCTTTTAGGCTTTTGTTTAAGGGAAATGTATTTTCTGTTTAAGTTGTTCCCGCACAATCAGTGCCACACGACAGCTGACGATATCGGAACTACTGAGTTGAAGAGGGCTTGGTCACTGAAGTAGAGTAGGATGTCGGGCAAGAGCACTATATGGCAAACTTTATTTAGTTCTCTCATATTTTTATATGTTACCGTAGAGGATTTCAGTTCTGTTAGCACAAGTCTGAGCACATGTCCGTGTACGTATCCACTGTAAAATGTTCTATACAATCTAATAACATGTGCATTACTGTACAGTGTCTGCAGTTCTGACTATAGAAGTAGCCATTTAGCTTATTTAACTTTGCTTTCACCTCTTCTCCTGTATATAGCTTGTATACTTGTAAATAGTGTCATAGTTATATTTAGTGTACACTCACTGGCCACTTTATTAGGTACGCCTCTGAAATCCAATGCAACCCGACGCAGCAGCTCTGCCATGATTTCTATTTATTCTACATTTTCAGTTTCTGTTGACACAGCTAAAAAGATGACAGTTCTAATTTGTTTATTATTGAAGTCATGGTGGGTGGTGGTGAACATGACTGCAGTACACACGTGTTCATAGTGTTTTGCGTCCATGTTAATGCTGTGGACAAATTATTAACAACACAAATGTGCAAAGTAATGTGGCCAGTGAGTGTAGTTTCCTCTAAATAGGGCTAATCAGCTTCTTCACGATACACTGACGTAATGAAAGGGCCTTACACGCTATATTAAGTTATTCATGCATAATATTTGGGACTATTGTGTGTTTGTTTGTGTGACAGTCGTTTTAAGAACTATCAGAAAACAGTGTGTCCTTTAATTCTTGTTATGTTTTATTGTACAAGCTGTTCTGTGACATTAACAATCCACTCAGTTGTGTTGCTGCCTTGACTTTTCCACAGCCGTTTTTGTAACATTTGCTTCAGTTTATTACTTTTGCTGTGTTATTTCTTCCTGTGGTTATTTCATAGTCACTGAAGCTTTTTTTTTTTTTTTTTTTTTGGGCCAATGCTAATACTGACTTTTAGGGAGTAGAAAAATCCAATATTGACATATTGGTCGATACTCTATAACTATATGCAATATGTTAGAGTTATATTGAAAATTAAAATTCATGGGGTCATCAAATAACTTTTCAGAAGTGTGTTTCACAAATTAGTTATCAACTTACACTGAAGACACCTCTTGACTCGACGCCACTGCCTGCTCTGCTACATGTGCTGCAGACAGCGTTGAATCTTGAAAATAATAATAATCATACATTTTATTTGTAAGCGCCTTTCAGAGCACTCAAGGATGCTTTAAGAGAAGGGTTAAAACTATAAAAACAACAAATGACAAAACAGCAGATAAAAACACAACACAATGGAGGCTCAGCTGCTCTGCTATAAAAACTATGTGATAACACAAATTCTTAATTACCCCAAATATTATTTTTTTTCTGCATTGTGTTCTATTAAAAACAAAAAAGTTTGGATACATGCATGTATTGGATAAAATATATGTTAATTCTGATACATTGGTCAGGTTCTAGTCACTTTGTTTAAACTGAGCATCTATCCCATTTGGGAATGTCTCATTAGCTGCCTTTTGTTTTTCTTTATTTTACAGTCTGATTACTGGACTGTGAAATGAGATTTCTTTCACTGTAATGTTCCCTAATGCCCTGACTGTTCAAACATTACTAAACTGTGTGATTCCTTTCATGATTTCTCTGTGTTTCAGTTAAAAGGTATTATACTTGTAGAGATACTTGGGCTCTGCCAACAAACCACTTCATTGATACATTCCCTTTAATGCACCATATTCTGAAACAAATGTGTTCATTGGGATGTTAGTGCTGCCAGTCACAGCATGTTGTCGGACAACAAATGGGCTTGTAAGGACCATATGGGTGCAGTGTGCCTTCATGACTGCTGGTGTCTTTGTACAAGTGTCAAAATGCTAACAGTGTCCTTCATATTTTGATACATGTGTCATAAACTGTCTTTATTTCTGTTGTTCACAATCTGTCGACGGTTAATATCAACTGTCGACAGATTATTGAAATACAAACATCATAATGCAACCCTGACCACTGTCTTCTTTTTCCCACTTTTGAAAGAAAAATAAACATCTAAATCTCCACATGGCTTATAAACAGTCAAATGGAGCCAAAAGCAGATCTTATTCAGACTCTTGCTATCCCATTTTTCTTTTTAACTGCACATCTTTTCTCCATCCTCTCCTAACAAAGCCAATTCATGCTATTGGGTGAGTTGTTTTTCCAGTAACAATTACAGAAGATTTCACTGCTGCCCACCATTGTGTCATCATTTGTTTAGATGTTGGGAGGATAGAGAGCCCTTTGTCTGGTTTTGGCTCTAAACATGGAAAAAATAAAGTAATCTGAGAGAAAGCTGAGAGGAAATGATGCATACTTGACATCAGATATTATCCAAGTCGGGACTCCTGCTGAGACTTCTTTGACTGGCTGTTTAGAAGGTGCAGCAACGAGAAATAAATTGCACAGTTTGATCTGCAACAGATTTTGCGCTAAATAGATATATTTTCACTTGCAGTGTTGACAACTCTGACGCTATTGTCATCTTCTTTGTTTTTCCTGTGTTAGAAATATCTGTTAAATCATATTAAATAGTGTCAAGTAATTCTGGTGATAAGAGGAGGTACAAAAACTGGGCTGCAACAATGTTCTAAAGTGAATGAACTTTCTGCTGTAACACAACAGATCTTTCCCAGTTCAGCTTTATTGAAAAGCTGCTCCAGCCGTGTGTTGTCGGGGCTGAAAAGTCCCAGTAAAGAGGCTGTCAATCCTCTGAGAGTTTTCCTTCAGGCAGTAGCTGAGCAGCTCAGCACATCACATGCAGGCCAGCAGCTGTTCCCTGATGGCTTACATGTGTGCGCCTTCCACGCCTCTTCTTCCTCACTCTCTCCCCCCTTTCTCTCTTTCCTCAGGGATGAGAGAAGGTGTCAGCGATGAAGGGAAAAAAGGTGTGTGAGTGGAAAATAGTGATGCAGTGAATGGAAAGCATGTAGCTTGGATGATGGATCGTGAACTTATGTTAACTGAGAATCATGAAGGCATTTGGAAATTTGAATGCATGATAATTAGAGTTGTCAGGATTAATAGCAGAAATATGATAGATTTTGGCCTGTGGTCCCGTATAGTTGCAGTGGAAGATTATTCCAATAGATTAGAATTTGGATATTTTTAGATTTATAGTAATAGATGCAATAAATTACATTGCAGTAGATGCAATGGGTGGTAAAAACACATGGCTGTAAGATCTTTTAAGGAAAACCTAAACAGCAGAAAGTGTTTATCTCAGTGGCCGTCTGTCAGATCAGGTTTACAGTTGGAGAGACTACAGTGTGCATTTCTTTTCTGGTGATTTACAGAAACATAATTTTTTAGAGAACAGAGAAAAAAAAACGTCTGAGCCTATATGAGGCCTAATAGAGTACTGAGGCCCTCTGGTGGTGAATGTATGTTAGAGGTTAAAGGAGTGAAAACAAACAAAGTTGTGCAAATAGAAAAATAATCATGTTCTTTCAGCTTAGACGAGAAAATCAGTTTACAAGACAAGGAAAGGAAAACAGCTGATCTGCATTTGTAGCACATAGTAAAATAGAGAACGGATCACATCTGTTTAAAAAGATTATTTACACAAAACAGGCCTATTCACATTATGAAACACAGTTGGAAAAAGTGCTGCAGTATTTTTGGAGATATGAACTCATTTTCTAAACTTTGGGATGACAAAACACTTGAATTATTGAATTATTCAGTATGCTTTCAGAACCTATATGAACTGTATTGCCAAGTAAGGCTTTGAAGAGACAAGAGGAAACAACAGAACATTTACAAAACAGTATAAAACCGTCACATCGTCATATTTTATGGTCAGAATTACAAAATGATCCACGACATTTCACTTACGCTTTGACAAAACAAAATCCGAGAAACTCGCCTATGAAATATTTCGGTTCACTCAACTCCAGTCCACTTATTTTTCACGCAGTCATCATTCATTTTTACTTCACTAGTTTTGATATTTACAAGACAGCCTCCACATCTGTTACCAAAAGAAATTATACGTAAAATTTAGGTTGCGTTTATTTGAGGAAAATCAGTTTTTATACTGAGCTCTATACTGACTAAGTTCCTTTTGGTAAAAACACACAAACCCATGAATGAGGTCAGTTTAGACAAATAGAACTTAATCTAGTCTTATTCTGCAATATGGTCATTAGAAAGTAAGATCATCAAAATCCACAAATGTCCAACATGAACTGTAAACTATCCAGTGAGTGAGGGATGTAGTAGAGCTATCTGTCCTTGGTAAACTCTGGCACCTCCAGCACCATGCTGACCTCCAGGCTCCCCGGTAACTCCATGGCCAGAGCCGGGTGGCACGGCTGGGTGAAGCGCTGTCTAAAGGTGCCCAGCAACTGACCGTTTTGGGTGTTGTAGAAAGAAAGATGGCCGAGCTGGTAATCCAGAAGAGTGCCCACTCGCTCAGGCATCTCGATCACAAACACACTGGACTGAATGTCATTGTGGAGTAGCTGATACCTGCAACTGGAAGGCAAAAAATAGTTTCAAAACAAAGACCTGAAACATTTAAGGGATTGGGGGTGAAATTCTTAATGCATACCCTGATGGTGTGGGAATACACTGCAAACACCACGACAGGCTGTTTTCCCCCAGTGATCTGTTTGTGTTGGCGGTGCTGTATGCCACTCCCAGCCTGTAAGCTGCACTTCCTGACACAATGGTCTCCCAGTAGTAGAGCCCTCGTGCTGGCAGCGACTCACCCAGGATAGATGGACACCTAGAAAACACACAAACTCTGTTTACAACTACATAAAGTGTTGTCTAACAGAATCTGAAGGAGTCTGGTGAGAGGGTTAAACGTACAGTTTGTCTGTGGATGAGATGGTTTTGTGTGCGTCCTGGGTGTAGTGCACGGTGGTCCGGTTCTCTGACAGCTCCAGAGCCGGGTGAGCCGACGCTTTCAACAGGTGGAACTTCGTCCCTGAAAACAGCAACAAGCAAGAGAAAAAACAAAAGCATGTAAGCAGTAATTCCGTGCTGTGCTTTGTTTTGTACCTGCATATGGAGCTACAAAGATTGTTCAAGTGTGTTTTCTTACCTTTGGTGGAAATGAGAGCAGCCTCGCTCTGTTCGCTGGCACCGGCTTCATTCACAGCTTTGATGTAAAACAGGTAATTCTCATTGGGCTGCAGGAGAACCTTCTGTTCACAGACTGTGATACCTGAGATGGATCTAGAAGTGTGTCACAGAGAGACACGCATAAATTACAGGAGTAAAGCTTTGTGCATAAACATTTTACACACTAAAATGGGTCAGTGTGTAGAGACATTTTGATTTTTATCCACCTTGTTTGAAGAGGTTTTAAATCATCTGTGTACAGTTCATCTGCAGTTTGTTTTAAACTGGCCTTCCTTCTATGATCAGAGATTACAGACATAGTTAAATCAATGTACTGGTCTGGTTGAGTCAAACACCCACCTGAGACCTTCTCCCTCCAGTTCGTACTGGCGGCAGTACTCCAAAGTGTAACTCTGTCCAAGAGTTGGTTTCGCTGAGCTCCATCTCAGTGTAGCTGAATCCCACATGACAGTGCAGCGCTCTGTGTCAATCACTGGCACCGATGGAGCTGCCAGAAGCACAACAATAGTGTGAAATGCATCTTTGAAGTGCAATTTTTTTTACTGCTTCTTTACTTAGACTTACAGAGATACAGAAATGTGCAAATGATAAATGCGCTTAGATGTGCAAATGACGTAAGTAGGTGCACATAAGTTGATGTTAGAATATAGAGTGTCCGGTATGTAAAGTGGTTTCATCAGCAGGAGAAGTGATATAGTCCTTATGTGATCTGTCAGAGCAGATGCATTGAGAAGTCTTATTGCTGTCGGGAGGAATGACCTCCTGTAAAGTTCCTTGGTTCCTGCAACATTGAACAAAGACTATTCTAATCTGTCTAAACTAGAGTTTTTCCTGCACAGAGGACTATTAGTGGTCTGCCAAAGAGGTTTTAACCAAACCATAATGCTAAGACAAATAAACAAATAACATTTTTAAACAAGTTCTGTTAATCGTGGTTTCATTTTCTCAAGCATAACACAAATTTTTGTTCGTCAAATGGTGAGATATCGTAGCAAACAGACTCATCAAACAGAATCATGCTTACTGTCGAGCGTAGACGTTTTGAGCCAAGACAAACCCTGGCCTAGACTCATGCCAGCATGACAAGAGGAATACAAATAACGCTTTTTTTTTTTATCATACAGGCCTGTTGTATTGCTGAAACTTTAGCTCCAGCGTGTGGACTGACCAGTTCTGAAGATGAGTCTCTCGCTGGGCAGAGAGCAGCCGGTGTAGTTGACAGCCATCACCCACACCTTGTACATCTTGTCAGGCTCCAGTTCCTCCAGGACACAGTAGCTCTCCTTCACCGTCACGCGGTACTCCTCCGACACAGCTGTCGACAGCAGCAATTTAGATATGCAGGACCTCACATGAAACACTTGAAACAAAATCTAAAACTGTATCCACTGGAAGACAATGTGCCCATTCAGGACCAACTGGCTGCTGAATGAAGTCTGCAGTTTTCAGTTGAACATCATTACTCCTTCATCAAGTCCACAACTAAAGTCTGATGATCAAAACAGAACTTTTGCAGCCATTTTTCAGGATCAACAACATCTAGGAGAGTATTCACCTCCTTGTGGATCCTCCATGCAGTACACCTGGAAGCAGTCTATGATATCTCCAGGGTTGACTTTCCAGTAAACAGTGACGCTGGTGCTGGTGGCTGAACCTGGCTCCTGAGGCTGCAGGGTGGGTCTCTGAGGAACTGAGGCAAACACAACAGCAGGATCTGTAACTGCCACACCTGCACATGACACCTAGTAGATCTGTCTGCAAACTCACGTAAGTCCCTACCTGGGATCCCCTTGCGCTGGGCGAGGTTGGAGCTGGAAGTATTGGCCTTGGCGTAGTCCTCGAACACCAGCAGTCCTTTGGGACCCAGCTCCAGTGACAAGGCCGAGTCCAGAGCTGCTTTGAGTCTGACCGTACAACCACAACATTTAGCTTCTGACCACAACCACAAATCAGTGTCAAAACCCCTCTGTTGCTGTAGGCTGAGCTTGGTATGGAGAATGTTAAAGGAAATCTACCTGTGCAGTTTAATATGCAGCATACTGGCACACTCGATAGATTTGGCCACAACATTAAAAGCACTAATAAGGTAAAGAGAGTGGCATTTGGTTACATTACTGGACGACCTTTCTGGCATTCATATGGATGTTACTTTGACACAACCTACCAAAGCATTGTTGCAGACCAATTACACACCTCCATAGCAACAACATTCCCCCTGCCACACAACTGCTCAGGATTGGCTCAAGGAACATGACCAAGAGCCGAAGGTGTTGACCCGGCCTCCAAACTATCAAGATTTCAACTCCATTGAGCCTCTATGCCATACAGAGACCCCACCCTGCTACCCACAGGACCCAAAAGAACTACTACCAATATCCTGGTACCAGACACACCCCACAGGTTCTGTGTCCATGTCCCAACAGGCCACTTGTTTTGGTGGCAAGAGAGAGATCTACACAATATTAGGCTGTCGGTTTTAATGTTGTGGCTGATGGTGTCATTCCACAGACCAAGCAGCATGCTGCACTAGTTGTCACTAATATGTATTTGATTATATAACGCAGTGTTAGAAAAAAATCATACAAGCTCGCACGCCTTTCATTGCAAGCACATTACCTCGAATGAATGTCTTCAGGTGACTAGTGGAAGAGCAGATTGAAGAAGGACTTAGACATTTGACACAAGCCCCGATCACTAATCACTGGCCATGACATCATATCTATAATCAATCTTCAGGTCTCACCCGTGCGTCAGTCTCAGCCTCTCTGGCCGTGGTCTCCAGAGTGGCCTTGGCGGAATCGATGCTCTCCTGGAAGGAGACGATCTGGTCATAGAGCTGCTCCAGCTTTGTCTTCTTCTCCTCCTCCATGCTGACAGACATGTTGTTGTACTGCTCCATCACCAGAGCCATCATCTCCTCATTCTGTGCCTGCATGGCTGCTTCGCTCTCCACACACTGGTCCTGAGCAAGAGGAAAGTGACAGCCGAGCGACAGATCTGAGTTCACAACATTTCTCAAGTAAAGTGATGTTCTACTGAAATGTCAAGCTCTACTATGTGCTGACAGTTTTACAAGCCTTGACTCTGCTTTACCTCTACAGAGTTGTAGGCCAGCTCCAGCTCTGACACCAAGTCCTCGATGTTCTCTGATCGCCCCTGAAGCTCTGAGATCCAGACAGTCAGCGTCTCCTGTTATGAAGCAGTTAAACCATCAGTATTATACAAGCTGACAACAATATACAGCTGCGATTAACCAAAAGATCATCATTTCAGTTTTGAAGGTATGACGCCAAAGCTGCACCAAATGTAATCTCAAATACAGTTTTCTTTCATGCTGCATCGAGTGTTCCATTCTCCTAAAGACTTTTGTAACATTATATCACAAGACCTCATCCTTCCTTCGCTTTTTTCTCTCTCTTTTTCACAATTGGTCAAAACAGAGCAGAAACTCTCCCGACATTCCCTCCCTTTCTACAGCTCGTTTAGCATTATTAGTCCATAAATCTAACTTTGTAACTCTCTGAACTGAGCTCGTATCCCACTTAAAAGATTCACTTATTCTCTCCCACTAGTTGTTATCATTCAGATGCAAACTGCAACACTTTTATCTGTGCTTGACGATGCAAATGTCATGTACCTGCATGTTGCTGCCCATTTCTTTAATCCCTGGTTGTTGTGTATCACATTTTTCAGATTTATTACGGGTGATAGTTTCAAGACCCATCTTCTATGAGATAGCCGGGACCAACATTGTATTTTTTAACAAAGCAAGCTTAGTTCCACATTTGGTCCATAGATCTTATTGCCTGTAGCACTTTTCACTGTGTTGATTATGTATCTGCAGGAAATTATATCTATAGTGAAACTTTTCTCTAAATTGGCATTAAATTAAGGTATTGATCAACTCTGACAGATAAGACGGACTCATCTATAAATGAAACGGTTGCCTACTGCAGCTTTAAGGAGGCCCATCAGCCAAGATATTCCAGGAAGAAGAAGAGTGGCAATCCCCTGTCAGCACCCGAACACGGGCAGCTCACATTTAACTAGGTCAAGCTGTAGTCACTGATAGCTCCCTGCTCGCTCCTTCTGAGGCCGACCGCCTCTCCGCTAACAGTCAGAACAGGTGTGTTCGTGTGTGAGTGCGAGAGGAAGAATGTATGAGCAGACTTGCACACATCCCTGAGCCAATTTCACAAAGATAGACTAAATAGGGCCCAGATCTCGCCATTAGTGGGGCTTCAGTCAGACGTCTAAATCCATCTGTGAGTAAAATAAGACTTCTTTCAAGCTAAAAAACACGGCTGACCGAACAAACTGCTCGGCTCCCTTCACACCAGCAGAAAATGCATGTGCCTCTGAAGAACTTAAAAGCTAGAAGGATCATTTACTGGGAAAATGGTGAGGGAAAAATTTTACTTTTCAAGAAAGAAAAACCTGAAAAATCACGACCACAGTCAATTTGCAGTTACTGTGGTCTTGAAAAACTCTTTCCCTTGTCATAGCTGGCTCCACAATCAGGAAATCAGGAAACCACAAATTATGAACCCACGTTGCCATTTTGTGCCAGTGTTACCATGGAAACAGAGGTCTTAGTTTTGAGAGGGTAACTTTTTAGTCTAAAGATAAGTCAGTCTTTATTTTTGTGAACTGTCGAGACAAATCTACACTGTAAAACCAAACCTATGGAATCAACTTGGTAAAATTGATTTAACAATTTGCACTCTATTTGTTTCCAGTTTGAGTAGATTACACCTCACCATGTTTTTGAGTAAATATCACCTAAATTTATCAGATATGACACACTAAAATTAAATTAGCTGAAGGCTGCCTTGTGCATTACACAATTAACTACTTATATAAAAGAAAAGTGAGTAATTGACTCTTGACTGCAAGGGTGCAGAATTTAGAACATTTAGGCGTATTCAATTTATCCATCCATTATCTATACACCGCTTAATCCTCAGTAGGGTCGCAGGGGGGGTTGGAGTATATCCCAGCCGACTTAGGGCGAAGGCATTGGACACCCTGGACAGGTCGCCAGTCTATCACAGGGCTACACTTAGAGACAGACAATCAAGCACACTCACATTCACACCTACGGACAATTTAGAATCACCAATTAACCTCAACATGTTTTTGGACTGTGTGGGAGGAAGCCAGAGAACCCGGAGAGAACCCACGCTGCACGGGGAGAACATACAAACTCCACACAGAACCTTCTTGCTGCGAGGCAACAGTGCTACCAACTGCACCACCTTGAGAGCCCGTATTCAATTCAGTTTAATTTATACAGCGCCACTTCACAACATATATCATCTCAAGGCACTTCCCATTGTAAGATGAAAACCTCACAAAATTTACACTAAGAAACCTTGATCTTGTGATACAGTTAAAATATTGTGGTAAATGCTGCATCTATCTTGATAGACTTCAGCATGTATTACAGAGCAAACGTAACATTTTACCAGATGTCTATAAGCTTTTCTAACACAAACCTTCCCCAATGCTCCTATTCAGGACATTACAATAGGCTACTAACATTAATATTCAATATGACAAATTAAACATGACTTATTTAGCTCTACCTAACAAATGAATGTCATACACAGGGGACAATATTGATTATGTCAATATCTTGGAGTATATTTTATGATATTTCAGTGTTGCAGTTGTTACTGTTAACAAATAGGTATTGTAAGTAGAGTTTACCTATTATATGTATTTCACTTGATATACTTAAAAAAAAAAAATTTAAATGACTGGAAGGGTTCATATTACCAAACCTCAAAAATATTTTTTGTTGTTGTCGTTTTACAGTCTAAGAGATCATTTTGGACACTACAGACCAATCTAAACTGTCTTTGTGAAACTGTCCTTGTGTGCAACAAGGTGAGAGAGTGCTTTGTTCATTCTAGCTCAGAGAACTGGACAGGATGGCGTTTTGCTAAGTTGTTTTGGTTAACTTGTCAAGATCAGTTTTTCCCTCTATGGAACATCTGAGCTGCCAGCGGTTCTTTGTGCTGAAGTCAGAGTGGCACTATAGCTTTCATCTTATTTACAGTCCAGCTGTCATTGTTTCCCGTAAATATATCACACAGAGACCTGGTTCAAATGTCATCTGGATATTTCATTTGATCAGTCTCAGTTTGTTCCATCTTTCCCTTGATTTAGATGCCAGATAGTTTACTGTGACTCTGTCCCAGATGCACAAAGAAACATCTCACTTCCCTCATATTGTCTGATGTATATTCACAGACTACAGAAAAACAACTGACACCTGCATGTTTTCTGTCCTTGTGAATGAGATGTCTCGTAGCAAAGCGTTCTCTAATTGCTCTAAAAAGGCAGGTTAAAAGCATGGACAGATGAAAATGAAACCATTTTTGGGAGTATCAGAAGGTGCTGTAACATTGCGTAGATTTTTATACTAAAAAAGCAGATGTCTGACCCTGTGCTGACCCAGAGGGACAGCGAGCGAGAACAGTGCGTGTGAACAGATCACGTATCAGCCTCTGCTTGATGATGTCACGCTGGACCTTTCCACTGATCAAAGCGGAGCATTGCATCACAACAATTCAATGTGCTGCATCCTGCCAGCTGCCTGAGAGTCTGCAACCTGCCAGCGTGAATGGAAAAGCTATATCTGACCGGTTTATTATATGATGACCCAAATTAATGCCAGTAAAATGTGCGGCGATCATAAGCGTGTGTTGTAAGATGGCTGGTAAAGTGCATGATGATGAGCTGTGATCTGGATGCAGCGTGCCGTCACTCATGAGAAGCACGTTGTTACAGCAGCAGTTTGCTAAAATCATCAAACATGTGGGAGACGCTGTGAAATTTCTGGAGCCACAGAGGGAACTAAAATTGAGATCTGAGAGATCATGATTTAACTTCCTCTTATAAGCAGTTATGTTCCACTTTGCAGCCAATTCAATTCATCATCATCATCATCATCATCATTTCATATTGCACTTTCATTAAGTTGGAGGACTTACAAAACTGCCCACATCTTTCAAACTCCATATACAGCCAGCTTCCTGTTAAAAATGCAAAACTCAGACCCGGTGTCAGACTCACTGATGATAAAATCAGGGTTATTTTCTTTAGAAAGCCAATTCACAGAAGAGTCCTACTTCTCCCAACAAGTCATCTTCATGTGGAAAGTCAGTGGCTCTTTAAAATCCTAAGAAAACTCCAAATGTTCTTACACACCCTAAAGCAAATGCATACAACATACCTTTGTGCATCTGTAGTACATTACCTTGATTTCCTCATAGGCTTTATCCACAGCGGTGACCTCATGGCTGCGATGCTCTTCAGCCTCACAGTCCTCCTCTGACAGCAGACATCCACATGTGACACAGAACCAGTCCATCCCCTGCAGCTCAGCAGCCAGCCGGGCCTGATTCTCCTCCTCTGCGTCGATGATCTCATAGTCGGCTTCGATGAGCTCTTCCTCTGAGAAAACATCTACCTTCTCGTCCTTCTCCAACTCCATCTCCATCTCCTCATCTTCTTGCTTCAGATCGGGCTCAGGTTTGAGCTCTCTCTGTGTTTCAGGTTCTGGCATTTCTTTTGATTCCTGCTCAGATATCACCTCATATTCCAGCTCATCTATAGGCACCTCTGTAGCTTCTGCAACTGACTCCATTTTTTGCTCTACATCCTCACTGTGCTTTTCAATATATGGAACTGCATCTTCTTCAGTGATGCTTGTTTCTGGTGCATCTTCCATCACCTCTGCCTTTTGTTCCACATCTACGTCTTCTGACTGTACGTCCTCTCCATGCAGCCCAGATAAATCCTCCAGTGGAGTAAAACTCCTCAGTGGAGAAAAGACGACTTTCTCTTCTTCTTCTAAGTCCCTCTCCATCGTCTGCTCCTCTGTGTCGGCCTCTTCCACAGGTGCAGGTGGTGAGAACCCCCTGTCTAAATCATTTTGGGGTAATTCTTTTTCTATTACAACGGTTTCTGGTTCTGCTTCGATTTCAGGCTCTATCTTTGTTTCTTCTACTGGTGCTTGAAGTTCACATGTGCTTTCAGGTTCAGGCAGAACTACTGTTTCTTCTGTAGTTTCCTCCGACCACTTGCTGATCTCGATGTCCATCTCAACAGCTTGTCCTTTGGGGACGAGGAGGATTAGCTCGTCACCTACATTCACTGCGTCCTGAACAGGTGTTTTTGATGTAGTTTCTGTTACTGTTTTCTCTGATTCGTAGTCTGTCATCTCTTGTTGCTGCTGCTCAGTTTCAAGGATTTCATGATGTTTCATGTCTGAATCTGTCTTGACTTCTTCTGCCATCGCAGGTTTGACAACTTCACCAGAAATCTCAGCTTTAACCTCCAACAGCTGATCAGAACCTTCAGTCTTATGTTTAGTTAACTCGTTCTCAGTAGTTGGTTCCTCTATAAGACATTCAGGTTCTTTTTCTCCTTCAGGGGCTGCTGTTTGAACATCAGTTGTCTCAACACTTGTTGCCTCCTGAAGATCGATCTGAACTTGGGTTTGAATCTCTCTTTCATTCACTGCTTTTTCAGTCACCTCCACGACTGTGCGTACTCCACAGTCACAGTCAGTGATCACCTCGACAGGTGCAGCATCTCCGGGAGCAACTTCTGCTGCTTCTTGTTCCTCACATGGTGGTGTTGACTCCATTTCACTGGAGGGTTCAGCTGGGGAGAGCACTTCCTGCCTTACGGTCTCAGGTTCTTTCACTTCAGCTTCAGCTTTGGCTTCTTCTCCTAGTAGCTCATCAGCAGCCACCATCTTGGTGTCAGTCGCTGCCTCCTCAGACAAGCTCTGCTCAGTGGTTTCTGTTTGTATTTCAGGTTCTGTGACTACTGGAGGCACCTCGCTGCTTACAGGTGCTGTCACTGCTTCATCTGTTGTCACAACAAGCACTTCAGCCACTTTTTGTGTTTCACATGGCTGTTCAGCTTCAATACTGCTTTGTTCACTTATTTTTTCATCTGCTCTCTGATGGTCCTCACTCTCCTCTGTTTCCTCCACTTTATTGTTCGCTTGGTGAGTTTCAGAGAGTGTTTTTTCTGTGCTGAGCTCAGAAGGCTCAGTCTGCTCAGTTTTTATCTCATGTTTCACTTGTTGACCCTCCATTTGTGCCTGCATTGGTTTAGACTCCTGAATTGGATCTTCTGCAGCTTCATCAGCCACCGTTGAGAGCTGTATGTCCTCCCTTCCTTGAATGTCCTCCCTTTCTTTGTCTGTTTCTGTAACTATTTCCTTTTTCTCTTCAAACATTTCTGAGTGTAAATCTCCGCTCTTATCTCCAGCACTGGCCTCTTGCATCTTCGGTTCCTCTGCCTCTGTCTTTTCCTTGTCTTCTTCTTCAGCTACTCTTATTAGACATCCTGTCATGTCAAATTTACTTTGTGGCCACATCATCCTCCCTCCACTTTTCTCCTCCACTGTCTCCGGTGGATCATCCACTGTGGGAGTTTCATCTTTTAAAATGAACTTCTCCAGGTACCCGTCCGCCTCCTCTGAATCTGACATACGCCTCCGATAAGACTTCTCAGACGCCACGCTCTCTGCCTCGGAGTGTTCCTCGTCGCTCTTCCTCCTCTCACCCATAGCATCCTCGTAAAGGTCAGAGTACATGAAGGACATGGCAGTGGGCTCCTCCAGCAGGATGGGGTCAATGATCTTAGGGGGTCCAGGGGAGATATAGATGGGAGTTAAAGTGGTCTCTTCAGTGCCAAACAACACTGAAGCATTCTCCATTGTTGATCTCTTGCTCTCTCGTCTTGTTCTCGTCCTGCCTCCACCCTCCTCATCGTCCTCCTTGTGCTGCAGTGCATCAGCGGGAGCTCCTTCTCCATAGAATACCTCATCCAGGTGTTCTCCAACTATCTCTACATCTGTAACAAATACGAAAGAGTCTTCAGATACTGAGGGGCTGTCTGTGGCTGCCTCCTTAGCAGGTTTTTGTTCCTCTGCTTGTGGTTTCGCTGCAGGCTGTTCTGCCTCCTCCTGTAGCTCTGGTGCTTGTTCTCCAGGAACCACCTCATCCAAAAGGGTAAACTTCTCAAAATAGTCAATGTCACTGGTGCCCTCTTTTTGAGTGGAGCTGAGCTCGGTGGCTGCTGATGGTTGGGAAGAATCTTGCTTCGAGGACTGTGGAGAGATTACAATCAGTAAGTCAATTCAAAGAGGACGTCAGAATTTTTGAACGTGCAGAATTAAGATTAAAATCTTATCATGGTCATCATTATCAAGCAGATAAGTACCTCTTGTGTCTCCGCCTCCCCCTGCAGGAAGTGATTCTGTTGCTGTGTCCAGTCATGGTGGTTTCGGGACCTGATCTTTGGAGTCTGGTCCAGGTAAGACAAATTGTCCTGCAGCTCAGTACTCTCCTCCTCATCCACGGTGGGTAGTTTGGAGGGGACTCTGATGTTGAGAATCTCATAACCCTCTGAAATCAAACTAAACAGCTGCTGATCTTTGTTTTTGATTTCCTCCAAGTCCGGTTCTGTTTTGGTTTCCTCCTGTCTGACATTAGGAAGAGAAACTTCAGACATCTCCAGTCTCTCCACTCCCAGAGCTGAAGCTGATCTTGAACTTCCCGGTCGGCTCAGCCTGTCCCCCAACCTGCTACGTCCTCCGGATCTTGTCCTCCTGCGGATTATTTTGTCCTCATCAAAGACAATGGTGATCTTTCCAGCTGTTCCAGAGCCCTCCATGCTGTAAGCTTCAGAGGTGGAGCTTGTCTCAGAGGCCCAGGGAGTAGAGCAACGGCTAGAGGCCGTCTCCCAAACAATACCACTGTCCTCGCTCTGAACTGTTACCATTGAGAACGATGGATCCACCATCAGGCACTGGAGTTTGGGCTTCACCGACTGATCCTGGACAACTTCTCGCAGACTGAAGGAGAGAGGAATGGACGGAGTTAGAGGAAGGAGAGCAAGCTGTTTGTGTCCTTCATAGGAAGGCAAACGGCATGACTAAACAGTCTGACTGCAAGAGGAGATCCTTTTGGCACAGCTCACGGAAACATAATCAGAGAACAAACTAATGAATCAAATCAAAACATATTTGAGCAGCACGGACCCGCAATCACATTTTGCAACACAGAGGCAAAGTAGCAAATCTATGCTGAAAACACAGTAACACCAGTTAATCTTTTCACAAGATGTCTTCTTGAGAGGTGTGGATCTCCAGCATTAGACCAGGTGTGTGGTGTCAGGCTGCAAATGTGAGTGATGAGCTGAAAAAAATAATGACTAAATGCGCTCTGAGCTGTCCCTCCGTCTATGAATACATCTCAGCCCCTGCAGGGTTACAGGAAGGTGACGTCCCAAAGCGTCATTCATGTAATATTAGAGAAGAGATGCCTGGTCTTCTCAGATGCATCCAACATATCAGTGTCTTCTACTATTTATGACATGGCAGGAATAACTAGAAGACACAGTTGAAAGTATGATAAATGAGATGTAAAGGATGGGTTGGTGAATAATATCAGATATTAGAATAGAGCTGCCTGAAGTGCCACACTGGTACTTCCTTGTATAAACTGAAGAACAGCTGAGATTAATGGAGATTAAATGAGTTTAATGGAGGACTGCTTTGTGAAACTTGGATACACTTGTCCATTCTCACTCTCCAGACAGAGATAACACACAACTCTGCTTTTCTCTTAATAGAGCAAATTGCATTTGTGTTAAGAAGCCCAGAAACAAGCAGTTTCTCACAAACCACAACATTCAAATATCTCCCAGAAGAAAAGAAACCCCTTTGCACAAAGCTAGTCAGCCACAATTGAGGTTATTCAGCTTGTGAAAAGAGCACCTGTTTTGTAGCTCTTCCACTTCGTCTTCATCGTCCTGGCTGATGGCATCTGAAGCTTCACGCGGATACTCCTGTAGCTCTGACATCTCCGAGTCCAGACCTTCACATGCCTCCATCTTGGTAATTTCCTCCAGATCTTCTGATATCAATCCCCAATGTTGTTTTTTGTGTGATTTAGAGTCCTCTTGATGTTTTCAGCCAGTCTGAATTGGGAGTTGGTCTGCCTGTTTGTGTCATTCTAAGTTGGGAGCTGTCCATCTGACTCAGCGAGGGACAGAAATAGACTGAGTGGGGAATGAAAAGAGGGGAGTGAAGATAGAGAGGGGCAAAGCAGTGAGATAGGGAAGGTTTTACTGGCTATTGAATTAAACACACTAACACCAAAGTCTAAAAAGAACTCCGATTTTTAAAGTTTTGTTAAGAAAAAAAAGCATCTTGCTGCATCTTGGTGTGTGCCAGTGGCTAGCAGCTGACTGAGGCTATGTGACTTTAAGTTCAAAATCCCCTTTGCTAAGTTAAATATAGGCCATGAGCTGAAACAGTACCCCTGGTCCCCCTGCTGCTGGCAGCAACGCTAAAAAGGGCCACACACACACATACACACACACCTTGTAAGTTATCCACCCCCCAGCAGGGTTGGCACCATGCACACGTCATAAACAAACTGTAAAAAGGCGTCAAACCACAACACAAAAACTAATTAGCACACTGGCTGTCAGAGGAGGCTGCAGGAGACACTTGAACAAAAGATGCAACGATCCAAGAGTCATCCTCGGTTCAAATTTTTTTTTCAAGGTCTATGAATCATGCACTGAATGACGTGAAGAATCCTGATGAAGAACTGCATTACCTTGAGAAAAGCAATTAACGTCTGACTCTTACCAGATCTATGTGATGGTATTTGTCTCTATATTTTCAATACCAGTAATATAGGAAGTTTTCCCTGTTTATTGCTGTTTAACAATGAATCATGGTCAATATGATTATAGCCTTTACAAAAAGAAGAAAATTCACAAAAATACATTTATGTCAAAGTGAAAACAGATTTCTATAAAGTAATGTCAAGTAATCAAAAATATAAAAATGAAAAGCAAATTAGGATTTAGTTGATACAATTTTGGCCACAATTACAGGATTAAGCCTGTTTGAACAGATCTAAATCAGTCTTACACATCTAAACACAACAATTTTAACCCATTCTTCTTTGAAAAACTGCTCAAGCTCCATCAGGTTGCACAGAGATCATGAGTGAACAGCACTTTTCTAGTCCAGCTACAAATTCCATCCTCTGACTTGTGGTGTTCTTTTGTCTTCATGGTCAGTTAAAGCCAGGAACACTGATTCACCACTGACTGAACCGTCCAGATTCATCTTCATGTCGTTTATACCTAATGGTAGTGAATACTTATGCAATTACAGTTTATATTTCTAATGAATTGATATTGTAGAAATAAGTTTTCACTTTGAGTTATTTTTTTTGTAAAGTTCTGCCAAACAATAAAAGCCAAATTAAATTTGTCCATGATTCAAATCTGAAAAACAATAAAAGGAGAAAAAATTCCAAGGTGGAGAACATATTTAATAGGCACTGTAATATTGTGGGATGGGTTAGTAAGTGGCTGTTACTGAGTCTCATATCCCAGCATTGAATGCTTACATCATTATGCTTAGGTAGCACCTTAGATCATACAATAAGGATACCACTAAATGTCACATTGTTGAATAGTCTAACAAATGTGTCAATACACACAAAGATGACCGACAGTTCCAAAAAATAAAAATAAAAAATTAATATTTGCATTTTTATTTTTCTATATTTATATCTTTCATTTCTATATATTTAGGGTCCGAGCACCCAAAAGGGTGCGAAGACCCTATTGGAACTGCTCGGATTATTAT